TATGTGGGGGGTTAATACCCTGTGGGGCAAAGTCAATACGTTCCATTGAGATACCAAGAGTGTTAAGTCCCGGCAACTCTGCTACAGTCACAGTGACCCAACCGCATTCGAAGTATTTCCCATTAGTTGCAACCCACTATAAAAGAAATCATCAGCTTGTACAAGTCTTGCCTCTTTGCAAACCAAGCCATTCACGAATACTACGATGAAAAAAATAATAAATAAACTATAAATATGATATGTTTTCAAATCATGCATGAAAATGTTGTAGATTTTCTCGACCTTCACACATAAATTCTTACCTGTGCTATTTTGATCTGCCACACAGAAGTCCTGAAGAGGACTAGGGTCCGAAGCAAACGCAAGGGAGCAGCCCGCCACCAAGAGACCAAATAAAAGCAAATGAGATGTCATTGTTGAGAAGGGGAAACTTGTGTTTTGATGTCTTTGTTAATTAGCTTGAGAAGTTTGTGAATAACATGCAACTTGGTGATGCTTTTATACTAAAAAACATTGGAACATATCAAGGTGGCGTATGTGTGGAAAGAGTAAAAAATAAACAATGACTTAATCAAACTTGTCATCTTAAGACACATTCAACTTTTTACATTGTTCAAATTCTTAACTAGATAAAAAAATCGCATAAAGTGTCTTTGATCGGTGGATTTTATTTGTCTAACCTCTTTCATATTTTAGATTTATTTGACTGGAACCTTGAATGTTTATTAGGTCTTGATATGGTCCAAAAAAATTACTTTAGAAAATTATATATAATTTGAAAACCCATTATGAAGAATGTTTTATTGTTACAATATGTGATAAATAATTAAATATAACTGTTTAAATACATTTAATTTGTAATTTATTTTCTGACTAGCTAGTCTAATCAAAGAGCTTTCTTAATCAAAGAAAATATCTTACCCTATGGTGAAAACATTGGATTGTCAACCTAGTATTTGTGTTTCTCACCACCGAACCATTATTTGGGAAGTAAAGGTAAAACAATGAAACATCTGCTTGATCAAATATTGAAATTATTTTGTCCTAATGAAAAAAACAAGTAAAACATTTTGTTGAACTTTTAAGAGGAAGATTCATTCAATTTTGGTTGGTATATTTTCAATCTATAATAAAGGCTAGAATTTCATCACTCTCATGCGTGTTAGATTAATGTTGGTGGAACGTTGAATATGTTTATTAGGCATTGATATGCTCAAATGTTTCATTTTAAATGTAGTCATAAATCTAAAGAAACGAATAGTAAATTTTGTTTCTTTTACTTTTACCCTCAAAAGTCATTGTTGGCACAGTGGTCATTGTTGAGTATCTTGTGTATCAGAAGGTGGTAAATCACTCATAGGGGTATCATTGGTACTAAGGACTATAGAAAAAGATAATATCATGGGGATCTGATGTAGGCCATTGTCGTGTAGTATGTATATGAATAATCGGCAAGTTAATAGGTTCTTCAGGATATGTGGAGTCACATGGGCTAGAATACTCAAGAAACAAATATGGTATATACCAACAAATCATCACTCACTAGCGACTTTATAATCAACAATCAAAGCAACGAATGCGAATATAAATGAAACAATTTAGATTGAATATTGCAAGAGAGGATTCAAGGATAGCTTAATGATTAACAGTAATAGCACAAACTCTAATGAAGTCTACTAAGCTTTATGCTAGAAAGATGAAAACGATATTTTCTAGCTTGTTATATGATTGACTTATCCAGCCACATATTTATAGTGAACATGAGATATTTAAATTAGGGAATCACCGATTAAACAATGACACCTAGGATATTACACGTGAATACAAATAACCAACTGTGTATGCTAACATGCACTTGGGTGTGCAGCGTAGGAAAGGAGTCCTAGGTGGAATCTAGATACAACAAGTCTCCATATACAAAAGCAAAAACCTAGGTATTGATAGTATACAGAAAAGAAATGACAACAAAAATAAGCCCACTGAACTAAGGGTTGTAAGGTAAAATCCAAACTGTGGTAACGAACTTTGCGGTTCAGTCTTCACATACGCTTGTATGGTAAAATCCAAACTATCAATCACCAAAATAAAAGCATTGTACTAAGGGTTAATGAATTAGAAAGCTAACCAACTTTGATCTTTGTTCATATTAAGGTAATCATGTTTTTTTTGTACACATTTGATCATTGAACTTGTTTGACATGTTCATAATAAGGTAAAATGACTGGTAATTAGCGGTAACATCACCGTATTATCAACAGGTCAAACAAGTTTACTGGTCAGATGTGTACGAAAAAAACATGGCTACCTAAATATGGACAAAAACAAAAGTTCCTTACCCATTTTGGTAATATTGGGTTCTTTATATTAAGTGCAAGTAGTCATAAGATCCATTGATGTGACATAAAATGGGGTTGTACGGTCTTTGTGTATGAGGAGACAGTGAAGTCTTAGGCCAACCCAATTTAGGCCCAACTTGTTAGGGTTCAGGTTATATACGCTTAAGGGGCTAGACTGTATGTGTTTTAAAAACCTAGCAACACAGCCTAGCCCATGACTAGCCGGGAATTGGGTCAGACCAAGCCTAACGTAATTGTTCATTAAGTGTCGGAGCCTGATTCTAGGGCACAGTCCCTGAGACGGTTCTTGTCCATTATTACCAAACCGGGTATGAAACTTTGGTTTTTGTCCATATTTAGGTAACCATGTTTTTTTTTTCGTACAAATTTGACCAATAAACGTATTTGACTTGTTCATAATAAAGTAATATTACCGTAATTACTAGTCATATTACCTTATTTTGAACATGTCAAACAAGATCAATGGTTAAATGTGAACGAAAAAAACATGGTTACCTAAATGTGAACAAAGACCAAAGTTGGTTACTTTTCTAGGTCATTAACCCTTGTACTAACTGCCAACTACCAAGAGCAAACTTTTGTTACATCATTATTTTCCTCAACATAAATAATTATAGGAATGTGGATTCTCCATAGTATACTCTCAATTGTTGAAGTAGGAAAATGTTCCACGTGAATTATTCCAGAAAGTCGTTTTGAAATTCGATTATGAGAATTTTGCATACCGTAAAGAACTCCCGGTCAAGTGTTTAAATAATTTGTCCATCAACATACCATTGTTGATTATCAAGACTACCTTTGGGATGTAACACCTCAAGTTTCAAACACTTTCACACATCATAGTTAATCTTGCCAATTTCATTGAAATATACTACCATAAATCGCTTGATATACGTTGTTGGCAAAGTATAATCAACGATTTTTGTTAGAGAAAATTCGGATAATAACCAAAAACAATAGGTGGTTTGAAGAAAATAACCAAGGAAAAACACATTTCAGAAAATGACCAAAGGATCCGTCGAGCACCCTATGCGGAATTGCTACACCTCTGCGGAATGTTGTTTTTTTTTTTTTTTTTTTCATTTTTTTCATTTTTTTGCGTTAATTTTAGTATATTAATATTATTTTTTTTAAATACACTAATACATTATGTAACAAATTTGACAAAAAAAAGTTTTTTTTTTTCGTTTTTTTGCGTTAATTTTAGTTTATCAATATTAATTTCTTTTTAAAATACATTAATACAAATCAAATACATATAAATAACATAATATAAACCGATGCATATAAATAACCTAATTAAAATTATACAAATATTCCATGTTTTTATAGGTTACAAAACATACCTTAAAAAACATAAACATACAACTCTCATAATAAACATACTTTGAAATAAACTTCATTCATTCAAATCGAACCACGGAAACTTTGATCTGTTTTCGTATTCCGTGTATGGGTTATCTGTTGCTTGTGTCCCTAGGTTTACTATCACTTGCATCCATTAGTTATCTGGCTCTTGCTGCCATTGGTACTCGGTGCAACCCTGCCATTGGTTCTGTGGCTCTTCCTGCGGTTGGTATTCGGTCTCTTGCACCCATTGGTTATGTTGCTCCTACTCCCATTGATGTTCGGTCTGTTGTGTCCATTGGTTGTCTCGAAGCTACTGCCATTGATGTTCGGTCTGTTGTGTTCATTGGTTGTCTGGCTACTATTGCCATTGTTGTTCGGTATATTGTGTCCATTGGTTCACTGGCTCATGCTGCCATTGGTTTTCGGTCGCTTGCGTTTGTTCCTCTTCTGTCACTTTTATCCCACTCCCTGAAGCCCCAATACATTTTTTAGTTTTACTTTGGTTTTTTGGAACGATTTCCTTACACGTCCTTACATTATGAGTTGTGCTATGGCATCTACTACACCTTCTTATTTTTGGTTCCTCACCTTGAGATGGAATACGATTGGTGTTTTTTGGTCTACCGGCTTCACATATTTCCATCACAGGAGGGTTAACAACCATAAGGTCATCCCGAACATCCCAATCACTAAGTTCTGAAAGAGGGTATAAAATATGCTCATACGTTCTTCGATATGTTTCAATTTTATAAGCATCTATAGCCATATGGCCACAATGATCATTTTTAAAGTGCGTTAAAACCGTTATCACATGACCACACGGCAAACCAGTTAGTTTCCAATATCTGCAAGAAAAAGTATTTTCCCTCAAATTCACTATGCCACCACTTTTGAAGTCATGCACTTGATATGTTGTATTGTCAACACTAGATACCGACCATCCTTGAACCCCCTCTTTATTTTTTTTAACCATATCTTCAGCCCACTTCGTTAGTATTGTTGTACTTTTTTCTGTTAAAACAAACATATATTATTATATATGACATTTATCATATAATTTAAAATTAAACATAATCATAACTGCAGCCATCCGCCGTTCGTAAAACAATTTATGCATAAGTGCGCGAAAGAACTCAAGAAGTGGTAATATAGGCAACTTCCTTGCTTTATTTGATACAACATTCATGGACTCTGCACTATTTGAGGTCATATAATCATACCTCGTGCTAGGGCAATACGCGCTGGTCCATTTCTCACGTGGAATGTGACTGAGATATGTCACTACATCATCTCTTATATTACGAAGTATCCCCAGTAGAATTCAAACTCGGTGGTTTTGTAAGCTCTTACCGGCTTCCAAAACAAAATTGCTGTTTTTTTGTTTCTTCCAAAGGTGTGGACTATGTTTCCTATTAGATGAAAACCACACAATCCATGTTGAGCATTTGGAAAAACATTTTGAATACTTACAGCAATTGCGGGTGCTCTATATGTAACCATTGTCAGACCTTCCACATCACAATATAAATTGTTTATAAATTGTTTATAAACGTTTAAGATAATAACAATATATTTAAAAATATATTACCGCGCATCCAATAGCGAAAAAGCAATACTCAAAACGATCCTCTGAATCAGTTTTTATGTATGCCACAGTACCAGGATTATGTTTCTTCAGATTGTAAAAATAAATTTGAAATTTGGAAAAACTTTCTTCGGGGGTCTCCATCATCAATCCCAAAGCAAATTCTCTAGCATGCCACACTTGTGAATAGCTCATATTTATTTGTAGCAAAGCATTCATATCTCTAATTCTATCATTAGGCTACCAAACTCTCAAATTTCCTTGACCCATAATGTTATGTATTATGGTTCCCACAACTTCGCTATTTGCTTGCCTATGATTTGGGTGTATAAGTAATGAAGAACATGTATGCTCGTCATTAAACGTCTTAATTTCAAACATTTTTGTTCCTATAATGACACATGCGTATAAACGCCAATGACAGTTTTCTTGCATACAAACAACCTGGTACCGAGATTTTGAAGATTTTTCAACCTTTATTTGAAACTTTTCTCTAACGTCTTTGAATTTAACAGCAAATGCTAGCTCTTTTTTGGTGTTATAGGTTTGTTTGACAATTAACTTATCATTTGGACCTAAACTGTGAAATGGTCTAGGTTCAAGAATAGGTTCTGGACAATCAGGAATAGAAGGAATACAATACCATGGATTAAAAGTAGTTTTTCGTTGCGTGTACTCATCATCCGACCACCCTTCGTTTGATTTTTCCTCACATCTTCGATCATCAATTTCAGGAACTTTTCCAAACTCAAACAAATTTTCACATTGTAATTCAGTCATGCCCACTTTTGGTTCTATATCATTATCTGATACAAAAATGTCATTTCCTCTTCCCTTTGAACGGTTTCCCTCACATTGGCTTTCTCTACGACCTCTATTAGTTTTTGTTGGGTTAAACTGGTTGTTAACCACTGCTTGTTCTCCATCTTCTTCACCAACCACCATTAAATACAAATGCACCGTATTATTTGATTCAGACATTACATGTCTCAATTGAAATACATCAGTTTCATCTCCAAGCTCCATGACATACCCTAACTCCGGGTGTTTAAAAGACAAACATATATGACTATTTAATATACCTGCCTTACTTCTAACCATTTGTAATAACATTTCATGGTCAATGTTAGGAGGAAGATTTAAACCATAGTTTTTCACATTATTTCTAACGTAAACCTCAACTCCATTAACTAACTGCCACGACCCTCCCGTACACAAAATAATAAAACTCATTTTACAAATCACTCTCTACAAACACAACGAAAAAACAACATCTACTAGTAATTGAAACTCACAAACTCACAAATAACCACTTAAATACGTCTATAACTTCTATAACTGATCCGCAGAGGTGTACACTGATCCGTAAGTGTATACTGATCCTTAGAGGTGTGCACTGATCCGTAGAGGTGTACACTGATCCTTAGAGGTATGCACTGATCCTTAGAGGTATGTACTCATCCGTAGAGGTGTACACTGATCCATAGAGGTGTGTACTGCTCCGTAGAGGTGTATACTGATATATATATATATATATATATATATATATATATATATATATATATATATATATATATATAGGGAAAGGATCAAATGAGAACACCTAAAAGGTTGAGAACGCGAGAACAGGTATATTAATTTGTGATTCCATGTATTCATTTATGGAGAAATGATAAATTTTTATGCACAATCAACATGAATATGCTTTTTCTCTTCACTTGAAATTATAGGCGTAAAAATCTATCATTTCTCAACAAATGAATACATGGAATTACAAATGAATATACTTTGTTCTCGCGTTCTCAACCTTTTTGGTGTTCTCATTTGATCTTACTTTATATATATATATATATATATATATATATATATATATATATATATATATATATATATATATATAATACATTTCATTATTAGGTTATTTACAAAACCAGTTGAGTTAACTTTTACTTTCTTCCATAGAACATAAAATACAAAATTCTACAAATACATGAAAAACATACATCAGTAGCAAATGTATTACATAAAACATTTTATTATTTTTAACCTTTTTTGTCAAAATTTTTACATAATAATCACATAAAGTATAAGTGTATTTACAAAAATAATATTAATAAACGAAAATAAACGCAAAAAAAAAAACGAAAAAAAATTAAAAAAACAACATTCCGCAGAGCTGTAGTTGGATTCGCTGAGGCTTTAATAGATTCGCAGAGCGTGGATTCCAAAGACTTCTGTGGACAGATGTCACAGATAAGTTTATTATTTTTAACCTTTTTTGTCAAATTATTTACATAATCACATAAGGTATTAGTGTATTTAAAAAAATTAATATTTATAAACGAAAATGAATCCAAAAAAACAACAAAAAAAATTAAAAAAAATCAATAAATAGCAATTTTGCAGAGTTGTAGAGGATCCGCAGAGCATTTAATGGTTCCGCAGAGGATACTCTTCGAATCTTGTGGTAATTTTCCAAAATTTGATTTTCCTTGGTTATTTTCTTCAAACCAATCTCTTTTTTTGGTTATTATTCGAATTTTCTCATTTTGTTATCAACAAACTTTTGAACAAGACTATCAAATAAAGAGAAATGATAAGGGGAAAGTACACCACATATAAATTATAAATTTGAACATCCATTCACAACACATCAAATTCATAATTTTAAATTATGTTCTTATACATTTCTATTGGTTTATGGAAACCAATTATTTATTTCCTTCAAGCGCCTGCACATCCACTTGTGGTTTTCCATTCATGACATAATCTTATAAAAAGATTGTTATTGAGCATTCGATCCTAGTAATATCCTTTGTCCAAAATAACTGAAAAGTGAAAGCCCTTGGTGTGATAGGCATGTCCAATTGCTCATCCAAAAGCTTTATTGTAACATAACTCCATGAAAGAAGATGATTAAAGAGATCTTCGTCTCCAAATGCCAAATTATGGATGGTGGCTTCATTTCAGGCGTTGTGGTGAACCTTAATATTGATAGACTTGTTTTATTTTTGGATTTCTAGTCGATCAATTTGCCATCAAGAAATTTCCATAAGCCCAAAGTTCTTTTCCATGTAATATGACATCCACCCTGATCTACATCTGAATATGCTTGGATATAAAATCTGGTTTTGACTGAATACCATAGACCATGAGTTTGAGTCTTGTGTAGTCATCAGGAAATGCTCTATACTACTTGCAAATGAGGTTCTCTCGGATTAGCTTGAAACCTACCATATTAACAAACAATGAATACCAGGTTTACTTGCGGTATGATAAAGTAAGGAACCAATCATACTCTGATAATTGCGCATTTCCATGGATGGTTTACCCTTACACGGACCTAATTTTGTTAGAAATTCCATTGGGAATTTTGCATCCGAACAATTTTTCATACCAAATATTATCGAGAGACTTTTGGTATAAGATTCTTGACTTATAAAAATTGTCACGAAATTGCTTTATTCGTAACCTAAAATGAAATTTATTTTACCCATCATACTCATTGTAAACTAGATTTGAATTGATTGTTCAAATTCATTCTAAGAGAACGATCCGTAGAACCAAAAATTATGTCATCTATGTACATTTTCACCTACATTTGCCGATTGCCAACCTTTTGTGGAAAAAAAGTTGGATCTACTGAGCCTTGTTTGAACTTTGAGATTTCAAAAAAAATGAGCTAATTGTTTCGCACCAAGCACGTGGAGCATATTTTAACCCATAAACAGCTTTATCAAAAATATAACAACAATAGGTATAGTTTTTATTCATAATCCCCGAAAGTTTTTCCATGTACACACTTTCTTCAAGTTCATTGTTGAGAAAGGCGCACTTACATCCATTTTATATATATCAAAGTTTTTGTGAGCATCATACATAAGAAATATTCGGACAACTCCTAATTATGCAATTGGTAAAAAAAATTCCTCATAATGAATGCCTTCTTGCTGGTAGTGTCATTTGACAGCCAATCTTTCTTTATTATGGATAATCTTCCCTTATTTGTCAACCTTATTTCGCAAGACGCACTTTATACCAACGAAGGATGCGTCATGAGGTTTAAGAATTAATCTCCAAACACAATTTCTTTTAGCCTCCAATATTCTAATTGGATACCTTCGACCTATTCAGAATATTGTAAAGCAACTTTGACATTCTTAGTTTAGCTTTGGACAAGAACACATGAATCATGCAATATTTATGATAAATGTTCATTAAAACTTGATATTCTTTTTGTTGATCAAGAGTCGTCACCCTTTGTGATGGATTATCAATAACTTTAGAAAGTGGATTATCCTTTGTCCACTTAGTTAAAGGAGGAAGCATATGATCATAATCCAAGAGAGCATCTTCCACATGCTCAATATTATATCCTTTCGTATGACCATCCTTCTCCCCATAAAATTGATCACAACTTGCTTCATTTGCTCTCCCTAAATGTGAGCATCGGATGGTGTAGAATGTTCCCCTTCAACCATATCATTGGGTGATATGTGTTCCCCATGGATAGGTGTATATTTTGGATTAAATAAATAAGGAGAGTCCATTTCATGAATTGGAGCATTGGGATTCGTTTTAATTTTAGATGGTTTAGTTAAAGAAAATTGTAGATTTATTAACATGATTGTCCAAAGAATTAACTTTTGAGGTTTTTGTTATCTCTAGAGTTCCACAGAATAAATTAATATCTACATCAAAGTCTATTAAGGTTAAGGTAACAGAAAATTTTGGATCGATGAAAGTATGCTTCAATTTTCTTCACATATTGATCATCAAATGTGAGATTGACCGTTAGTTTTCCTTTATCTTTTTTTTTCATTACCTTATTACCCTTTTTCATTTTGTGAATAACCATGATATATGCTTTCATTGAATTTAGATTGGAATTATGAATGATTATCTTTGAAATTCTTTATGAATCACCTGCAACCAAAAATATGGAAAAATTTGACATTAGGTTTATGTTGTTTTCCGTGTTCACATGCAGCACACAAGTGATCATTATTAAATTTCAAAATTGGTAATCCTCTCACCAAATCTTGTGTAATTAAGGGGTCTTTTGATAGTTGCTGATCGAGAAAGTGGTAATCCTCTCACCAAATTTGTCTGAGTAATAAATTCTGACTGAGTAAGAAGTCATGATGTTTGATTGTACATCTGAATGAATGTGCTGATTGATGCAAAATGACCATTTTACCCTTGTACTCTTTATAATAATAATAATAATAATAATAATAATAATAATAAAAATAATAATAATAATAATAATAATAATAATAAATAATAATAATAATAATAATAATAATAATAAAACTTCCAGCATAATAAAAAATATCTAATCAATCTATTCATTTAAAGAAAGATTATGAACTCACTAACAAATTTTTTTGTCTACTAATGCTTTAAGGCCTTGTTTGTTATGCAAAGACAGAACATGATAGAACAACGTGTACTACCTGGGACTAGGGCCGGAACAAAATTGCAATTTTTGATCTCTCGATCTCTCGTCTGTGAGAAAGACGTAAATGTCCTCCTAATCCTCATGGCTGAAATGCCCTTTAAATCATGTTGATAAGAATCAAGAAATTACACCCTTACAAACGAAATAACCAAAAGATCGAATGGCTGATTCCAAAGCTCTGATGCCATCCTTGGAAGTGAAAAATGAAGCATTATCTGTTGACTGCCAATTAACCAAGAAATGTGAAAGTTTACAATGTAGAATTAGAAGATTGTTTTATGTATCTGAAGTAGAACTTATGGAAGTGAAAACTAAAGCATAAACCTAATCCAACTTATTATGACCACATCAAACTAATATAACCAAACTTTATACTAAACAGGAGAGCAAAAGGCCTTTCTAGATAAAACTTAGGTAAGGGCAAAATTGTCCAAAGCAAGAGAATTACCAGCATCCTTGTGAAAGAAACATCAATTGTAGCCACTTTAAACTACCAACAACACATCCTTGCCATTTACAAATAATGATATATCTCAAGGGCTTAATAGTAACAGAGGGAGCATCTAGACTTAAGTATAGCACACCTTTCTATTGTAGTCAAAAAAATCAAAATGTATCCATCGAATGTTTTAAATGT